GGGTCTTCCACCACTGCCGGCGGGTCTTCTGCTGCTGGTGGGTCTTCCACTGCTGCTGCGGGGTCTTCTGCTGCATCCCCGCAGGGCGGGTGATGGCAGCTGGCAGGGCCACGCCCAGCTTCTCCCTTGCCGGCAGCTGCAGGTTTGCCATGGCCGTTCTTGCCGGAAGCGCTGGCTGCTGCCTTGTCGCTCCCTTCAGCTCCGTCCTCTGGCCCCACTGGCCCAGCACCATCTTCCTCAGACTCTCCCTCCTCCTCAGACTCTCCTTCCTCGGACTCTCCCTTGCCTCCATCTTCCTCAGACTTGCCATGTTCATCTTCCTCAGACTCCCCCTGCTCGTCATCTTCCTCTGAGCTCTGCTCGCCCCCTTCCTCTCCCCCCTCTGGAGCAGACACTGCTCTTGGCTCCTCCATTTTCTTTTCCCCAGGCTGCCCTTGCTCCTCAGAGACTCCTTCCTCAGCACCAGGCTCCTCATCCTCCCGGGCCCAGAAGCCATCTTGTGGGCCAGACCGGCGATTCCCTTCATGATGTGCTGCCTCAGGGGTGCCCAACATGGCATCCTCCCGTGGGCCCTGCGCCTCGCTGGGACCCTCCTGGCCCTTCTCCATGGTGGTTTCCTCCAGCTGGCCGTCCCCTGGCCCAGGGTCCCCGCTCAGGCCACCTGCTGGCTCTTCTTCCCCCTCGCCACGTCCATCCTCAGTGGTGCTGGGCAAAGAGGCATTGGCGGGGATGCCATCTTGGTCCTCCTCAGGGCTGCCGTCGGCTGCCTTCTCCTCCAGCCTGGGCTCTGCGGCTGGCAAGGGGCTTTCAGGAGCGCCGCCGACATGGTCCATGCCGGGGGCGTGCAGCTCTAAACGATGAGAACAGCTCAGTCAGTCTTACCCGCGCCGGCACGTGGCTACCGGGGCACCCACCGGCCCCCCCGTCAGCACCGGGGAGGGGTCCTGAGGGAGGATTTGTGGCTGTTACCACAAATTTAAGATTTAAATAGGTTTAAACTCTTTCCTAAACCTTCTCTAGTTCCAGCTCAATTTTCTGGCCCTGGTGCAAGAAGCTGGGTGCAAAGAGGTGTTTAGGGCGGGCAGAGCCGATGCTAGCAGGGGGCCCTATGGCTGTGCTGGCTATGGCTGCCCG